GCTCAAGAGTTGTGTAATAATGTAGTGCTTTAAAAACAAGTAAACTTTAACATGATACAGAAGGCAGGGCGGTTTAAAATCAGGTGCATTGTATCATCTCCTTGATCAAGCTCTCTGGACACAGTTCTGAATGGGACTTGTCACATCCTGGAGCCTCTGGTGGTTGCTTAGCAAGGAGTCCCACCCTGGTGATACACTGTGTTAATTACTGAGCTTTATGAGGTGTGTCTTGTTACCTTTGGACAGAGCCAGGATAGCTGCTTTCTCTCTGTTCTCAGTCTTTATGTTAGGCTAAGCTAAGCGAGCGGCTGTTCATATTTATGTACTGGTATGAGAATGACACTGTTATTCAGTGTTTAATTATTACTTTTATTTACATCCCTGCTCTCATTTTTGACCTATCAAATTCTGTTAGATCAGTTATTTCTCTACCTGTAAGCACTTCAATTAATTTTCCATTAATGTGTTTAATTTTCCTCTAAACATTTATTTTATTTTAAGGAGATCTTAACCTTTTAACCTTTGATATTCTGACTCTTGTTGACATTTTTTTCCCATTTACCTCTAATCTAACCTCCTCGGTCTGGAACTTGTGTGTGTATGTGCACCTCTGTGTGTATGCGTTTGTCTGCACTCGCACTAGTCTGGCAGTGCCTTGGCACACTGGCAGGAGCGGGCGCTACGCAGAGTGTCCAGGAGTCGCGTGTGCTGGCGAGTTCTGTCCGTGTGCTGGACGGGCGCACGACGCTCCCCCCCACCCCTGGGTGCCAGCGGATCTGAGGAAGGCCTAGTGAGAATTCGGGTCAGCACAGCACAGCCAGGGGCCAGACCACCAGGACAGCTTAACCACTTACCAGTATAAAACAGTGCTGCATTCATGCCATATTGCTTTAAAGGCTCAAGATGGATTGAATATCCTCTATTATTTTTCTTGAGTCACTTTAAATTTTTGCTGACACAAAATAATGATTTGGGTGGGATATTTTATGGATAAAATAAGATGAAAAAAATTCTTCCCATCAACAATGCAGCAAAGGAGGTTGCAAGAACTCACTACTATATGACATGAATGTGCTTTATATAATCTGAGGTTGGGCAGAGACTGTAAAGCCACGCCTAGTTTAGCCTGTTAATTAAAGTTAGTGATAGCCCTAACTAGGGCTATATATAAGTTATCTTCAGTGAGGAGTGTGGCTTTCATTGCTTTACAGTGTGTGTTATTTGTCATGCCTTGAGTGTCTTGATGGCTGTGCTGGAAGAAGGAAAAATAAGTTAAACTTAAAGGTGACCTGTTATGGATTTCCTTATTTCCTGAGTCAAGTAGACATTTATTCATACAGCACCTTTGAACACTTTTCACAAAATGTTTCACAACCCAAATACTAAAAACATGACAGCAAAAAAATCAGCTCAGATTTAACTGCTTTTTAAGAGAAGATCAAATCCAAAGAGCTCAACATCAGAAGATCCAGAGACTCGAATCCACTTCTCCCAAAGCCCTGTCATCTTTAGTTCTCAGCCTCGTGTGATGCACAGCCAGCAGGTCCTGATCACAGGACTTTGACTATGTGTCAAGCCAAATGCATGCCGAGTTTAAAAGGATCAATAATACTGGTAAAACTTCTAGCGAAGAGGTCAGAGTGATTCATCAAATATTCATGTTAAAATCACCAACTATAACCAATCTGGACAAATTCATAGTAGAGGAAAAAATAAAATTCCAGAATTATTTACTGATGGGAGTATGTCTAAGTCATACTGCCTGGTTTCAGTAGGTAATAAGAAATCTAAATTCTTGAATAGTAGTCAATTATTTAACATGAAGTTTTTTGTAGTCAAAGACTTAAATAGAGCCACGCTCCACGAGGTGGTAGTCTGAAACGGCCTGATTTGGAGAGCCTAGGAACTGAAGGTTTGACACATTATGCTTGTAAAGTCCACTCACCAAGGGGAAACACGGCAAAGCATCTGGAATGTCTGGAAGAACATTCCTGAGGCAAGAAGGCCTCATAAATCCAGGCTTTGTGTATTCATGCAAGGATGAGGAAGGAAAATCAACTCTAAAGAAAGTGTATGAGCACAGCTAATCAGAAAACAGCAACATTGTTTACCAGCCACTCCCACAATGAGCTGAGTGTCACCTGGACCCCTGCTCATCTCCCTGTCCTGCTTGTGGTCTGCACGAACCCAAGAGAAGACAGCTCCAAAGTGAGTCAGTCCCCATAGACTGCCATGTTAAAATTCTGAACTGGCAGAGTTGCTTTAAATCACAGGTGTGCTCACACAGGTAGCTGCAGCTAATATTTGTCTTTTCAACGTCACCTCCACCACTATGAGATGCTGACATGGACTCGTGCTTTTGTTGAACTTGTTTGAACGTTGCACCCCTACCACTTGTAAATGCAACGTGCTAACCAACTGTACATTTGCTGATAAATCCACCCTCTGGACTAAATTTGGTCACTTTTGGCGCTAAAAATATGATGGTAGTACACTTAACATTGAAGTTTCAAACGCAGAATCCAAAGCCAACAGCTCATGACTCAGTAGCTACTTCTGTTTTTTATATGCTGTCTATGGGATTTCCTAAATAAGGCTGTGCACATATGCCCCACCCATCTGTTGTTTAATAGTGTGTTCCAGATTAAGTCAGAAGTCAGAATTTCTGAGTTCCCAGTTGGAATTTCTTTCTGGAATGCTCCCTCAACTTTGATTACCAACTTGGAAAGTCAGAGCAACCCCAGCCAAACCCAAGTAATAATCTAAGATGTTGCCAGTGAAGGTAAACAGTACTAAAGCTGTGAAACTTTTGATCTCTTCTGCCACTGTTGTGCATTTGTGACTTGCTAAATAAGCTATGCACAGACACACTGACTCTACCCATGAATGCACTGCGGCTGAGTTTTAAGTGCAAAACAACAAGTTCGGAATATTGGGTTGGAAATAAGCATAACAGGTTCCATTTAATAATCCAAAATGTTAAAGTAAACATGTTCTTTGTGTCACAGCCAGACAAGATGTTCTTATCTATAAATAAGTGCTCATTGTCCCCTACATGTCCATCACTACACTCTGGTGTTTCCAAGGTTGCCTGGCTGGCTGTGCTGCCCTGTGCTTAAGAAGCCTGGCCTCCTCATTGATCCATCCGTAAGGCCACATCTCAGCATCACATTTTGTAAAACAAGCTATGCTCTTCTCCATGGATGGCTTATTTAATGCACCCTAGAGGACACCAGAGCCTCTGTATGAAGTAAACTCATACACAGAACGATCACCAAGACAGGTGGAAAAAAAATACCAATTACAAACAAAATTATCCCAAAAAGTGACAAAAACACAATTACATTAAAGGTCCAGAATGAGCACAAAGAGAGACAAAATGTGACAGTCGTTTTGTTTTTGGTTTGGACTCATAGTCCTGATTTGAAGACTGAAAATATCAGAGTTAAAAGTTAAGTGTGTCATAGGTAGATTTCTGGATTGCGTGCTAGATTAAACAATCAGTTATGAAACAATCTGTAAGTCATTACATGACCTGCTGTGAGAAGGACAGGGTACAGGGATTGGAGGCTTGTTGAAGCTGCTGAGATGCTGCCACTGAGCAAAGCTCTGGATCTATGGGTAACAGAGGATGCTCGCCTTTGTCCACCATTCACTGTCGGCTTTCATTACAGCTTACCTCAAGACAGTTAGGTACACAAAGTTGCGTTTGTGTGTGTTAGCGTGTGTATTGGGATGGTGTGGTGAATGTGAGAGAGGGAGAAAGAGTATGTCAACAAAACACTCACACACAAACATTCGGTACACACACGTGATGTAAAGGGAGAGCAGCACAGAGTGCTGTGACAGGGGGACAGTATTTGTGTTGGCATGCCATTCACACTTAGGTCGCATGCATTTGTAGGCATATGTGTAAATGCTGTCACACACACCCACACAGTAAGCCTTGGCTAGTAGCCCTCTCCAGCCAGGCCCGTGGAGTGTTGTTAGCTGGGCATTCCCTCTGACAGCTGCAGCAAGGCACTCCTCCCACACACACACACACACAGTCAGAGGGCATTCCTTTGACGCCATTGGTTTTTGGCCTGTGGCTCTTTAAGAGCTCAGCTGCATGCCTTACACATCACAGCTCTGTTAGGATATCATGTTCCTGTTTGCAGACTCTGGCTCTCCTCTCCGTCTGGCTCCAGCTCCTCTACCACACAGAAATTCAATAAAGCACATTAACATCAACCATCATGTCATTCATACTATTTTCATTTAGGTGGAGAAAGGAAAACACAAGAGGGAAAGCCTGTTGATAGCCTCATACTGTATCTGTGTTGTGGTGATGGGTTTCCAGGGACATGAAAAGAAACCGAGTTAACTTTATGGGTCCCAGAAAAATTAGGCTTATTGTTTGACCATAAGCTTTTTCCCTGTTCAGAATCGCTCACTGTGATGAAATGCAATAAAATAAATTCATAAAAATCTACACAATAACTAAAAAGTCCACCTTAATAACATTGTAATTTACTGGAAACATCTGTTTCACATCTGTAGACTAATTACTGTCTAAACCAGTATATGGTGCACACTATTCCAGTGACTTTCTTGTTCTAAATGTAAAAAAGAAAAATCCAGATTATGCTATATAATATATAAGTCATTTTAAATTATTTTAAACAAAAAAATTATACCAGAAGTAGACGAGCTAAATGCAATAAACATGAATGTTGGTCAAATATCCTAACACTCAGACGTTAGTTTAATGCTTTTACAGTAGATACCACACCTTGCTGGTAGTTGAAGTGTGTGAACTGATCCAAACTTTTCTTCTAGTAACTAAATAAAGCCATTTTACATCTTTGTCATTCTTCCAGTTAGTATAGAGAAAACTGAGTAAATGTTTGGTAAATGTAAGCTGCAAATGTTATCTTCAGATTTGAAGAGTCCTCAGTTTTGAAAACAGAAGAGCGTTTTTTGGTCCACCAGAAGTAATGGATCACTCCTGAAAGGCTATTGATGTAGTGCACTTCACCGTGTTAGTAGTTTGGTAAATGAGAATTAGTTAGCTGAATGAGAAACTATCATCCAATTAATCAACCAGTCCATTCTAGATTAGGTTGACTAGTTTAGGGAAGAGAATTGTATCAGAGAAAGACAGATTTTGCTCTAATAGGCACAAACTGTAATATAACACAATTGTTTTCAAGTGCAATGGAACTGCACGGTTAGGATGAGCATATTTCCAGTCAGGTTCCTAAGCTTGAATCTCCAATGTTACACTCATCTCTGACAGTTGTGATACTTATCAATGAAGTATACATCAATGAAGCATAAGGAAATCTCAGTTCAATCTGATTATCATACTGGAAAACGGATCATTGCAGATAAACGAGGAGGAACAATTTAAAAATTGGTTTCAAAATTGCCTCCAAACTGCTCTGCTGTTTGGTGTTTGATGTGATCACACATTATCAACAGACCTGCATGCTGTGCAGATTTTCAGGGGAAATAAAAATCAGTAAGGTATTTTACATGCTCCCAATCATTGTTTCTATTATAGTGGAAATGAAAATACTTTTTAGGTGATAGCTGACGATGTAGGGTCTTTACCTCACAATACTAGGTGTCTTGAGGCAACCGTAGTTGTGATTTGGCACTATATAAATAAAACTTAATTTAATTGAATTGAATTAAATTTAGTGTCATTTCAATGTAAGAATATAAGAAACAGCTTTTCTTGAGTGGAAAGCATTTAGGTTGGCTGGCCAAAGTATTTAGGTGGGTGTTAAAGGCGGTATCTCCCAGGATGTCAATTCCTAAATGCCTGTTATAAAAACAGCTCACCAAATGGTCTATGATGTTTATTTAGTCATGTCATAATGACCCACACGTGTCATGTAGGAAACCAGAGCTGATGGGTGGCACATCTGTTTTTTCCTCCTTCTTAAATTCCCTGAGCGTCACATTTACATTTAAAACTGAATTCAAAAGTAAATCCATCCGCTTTTCTCAGCTTTGAAGCATTTTGGAAGTTTCAGTGTTAGAAAGCAAGTTTGTCCTTTTATGTTTTTCATGACTTTTACAGTTGCTTCCATTTTACACTAGAAGGTTTAACTAATTCATTTTAGGACTGCTTTGGTGTGGCCATGAAACAACATTTACCTCACAGCCAGTCACCGCTGTCTTCATGATGTAGTATACAAGTAACAATAGGCTACGTTCGGCCTTGTGCATTTCCAGAGACTCACTCTCGTGTTCTCTTCTGTGCCCTTTCCTGCTTTTTGGATCTTCCTCTCCTCCACCACCACCACACCGTCTCTTCTCTGCAGTCTCTTATCTTTGATGAGGTGGATCTGTCGGATGCCAGTGTTGCAGAGTCCAGCACTAAGAATGTCAACAACAGCTTCACAGTAAGTGTTGATCGACAACACATGTGCACACACACACTCAATACACACACCTACATTTTTGGTAATGACCAGTAGGAGGCGACTCCTCTGGTTGCAAAAAGAATTCCAGCAGTAGCTAGATCTTTGAAAAAACTGTCCTCATGTCCCGTGGTCTATGATGAAAGCTACTGAGTTCACATCTTATTGAATAAGATATTCATTTTGTAAATGATGGTGCCTGTTATAGTGAAACAGGGTGATTTATCATGGGACTCACATATCACCAACCTATGATGCGGCACCCCTTGTTCAAATCCATCAGTCATTCATCACATCAGGTTTCAGAACACCTAGATGAAGGCAAAGGGTTCACAACAGGACTGTGCTAAGTAAACAATATTGGCACATAGTAGTCAGTAGGGTTTGGCACTTAGTTGAGAATCTTTATCTCAGATTTAAGAAGTTTGGAAATTTTTTAATGTCAATAAATGTTTTCAAAGTTCAAAAAATGGAGCTGGCAGCAGTGACTGTTGGGAAATCTTTGGTAATAGAGAACAACTTTTAGCCAAAATATGAGAATTGCTCCTCCAAATGACGTCAAACTACGACTGTTTTTACACTGCATACCTGCCAACAAGCATTTCTCTCCTTTATTTTAAGACCGTCTCTCAGGGACTTTCCATCTCCCACTGATGCAACACTGAAAAACACTGAAACATAGTGTAATAGTATCGCCAGAATCAGTTTAAACATCACGGAAAACAGTGAAAGAAAGGATGTTGCAATCCAGTCTCCATACTTCTCCAAACCCCTTTACTTTGCAAATCTCATAGTTTTGAAACGTAAATGTTGGCAAGTTAAATTGTGCTCCATGACATCACACCAGCAAGATTTTATGAAGAATTTGTAAATGGTTGTCGAAACAGGAGAAGAGCACAGATAGATGCATATGTACGGATTGTCTGAATTATTAATAAGAAGATGATTGTTTCTTAACCTAGACTAACAGTCTTTGTGTATTTAGCTGGAAAGCTAGCTATCAGGGTTAACAAAACATGGGATATGCCCTTTAAGGGAAGTGATTCACCTGACAAGCTTTACACCTGAAAAGGTCAGTCTTAGTTATAAATAGAAAACATTACCATAGATTGCTAATTAGCATTGCTCCTTGTGTTTTTGTCAAATGCCTCTCAACACGGCACATCCAAACGGGTGATGTGGTTGTGAATGGACGGCTGAAAAGAACGAGAAGCTGTGAGTGTGAGTGTGTGTGAATGAGAGTATTACAAGCAGCAAGGATAAAAACAGAAAATAAAAGAGCTTGTGTCCTTTCTATAAATGTCTCTTCTCTCCTCGGTTGTTGCTATAATAAGAAACACAGAGGCGGAGGGGGTAGGCAGGAGAATGGTGCCCGGAGGAGAATACGGAGCTATTTTTAGCATCGGCTTGAAACGCTTCATTGGCTGGCTGGCAAAGCTTAAACCCCTGCCATATTCATAAATAAGATTATATGTGTGCAGTTGTGATAGGATGTGAAACGCTGCCTTATGAGCATCAGCATCTTATTAGAAGGTGAGTGCAAGGAGGCAGAAAGAGAAGAGGGAGGAAGGAAGGAGAGAGGGGAGATAAAAATATAAAAAGGACTAAATACTGTGGAGATGTGAAGAAAGAGGGGAAAGAAGGTCCTGACAAAAAAATAAATAAAAAATGCTTTACACTTATTATTGATTGAGGATGACTGACTCAAGATGGAAAGGCAGAAGGAAATCCTGGAGTGATGTCACACCACTGCTGACTGCATCCGCACACATTCTCCCAGGGGAAAAGAGGGGGAAAAAAGGGCAGCGAGCGAGAGATTGAGGCAAGAGCGAGCGCTGAGAGGAGGAGGAAGACGGAAGGGAGCGCGAGAACGGAGAAGAAATGAAAATAGGGTGGACCACAGTAGAGGGGCAGTGAAAGAAAAACCTAAAGGTAGTTCACCTGAAGCTGTAACACTCTTGACTTGTGGTTACGTGTGTCAACCCAGACACGGTCACACACACCAACCGGGGGAGACCAGGATTCATCAGACAGGTTGTGCAAGCACGACTTAGAGAGAGAAAGAGAGAGCGGTGCTGCAGAGGACGCACTGCAGGACTTTGACTGTGCAGTCTCTGTGTCCGTCTGTCTGTCTGTGTGGTCTCTTGTTGTTTTCTGTCTGTCAGTTGGTCCCCCGAGGATGAATGATGTTGCTGACGCCTTCTGTGCAGGTTGGTGCTAATTGGTTGAAAGGCTTGAAACATAAATGATTCGCTTCATCGTGCATGTTCGTGTAGGCGCTCTGCACATGACTCCTCGGTGTGCCTAATGTGCATGGTTGTATTTTAGCTGAGCGGACCTCTTAGTAACCTACCAGCAACATAAAGAAAAATGTTATGGTCACAAAAAAACTGAGAAAAAGGAATATTTTTCACTTGCATTCTTATAAATTCTTCAGCTGTTTTTTTTACAAATTGCCTTATTTGAATGAAAAGATTAATGCACGAAGGATATAGGAGTAAAAAATGATTTAAAAAAATCAAGAATGCATTCATCTGTGTATTTTTATGAGTGGTTATGCTCTAACACAGAGTTGTACAAGTGTATATGTTGGAATACACTTGTGTGTGTATATGTTTAGGTCTTTGTGGTGAATATGTGCTTGTGTGAATGTATAATGAGGCTGTCGTTGTCGCGCAGACAGGGAGCACCTTGAAGTCCACGTGAGGAAAGGCTCAACCCAACCCGAACCCACAAACTCGTTCCATCCTCTGCAGGAACAGCCGCCTCTCACGCTGACTTACTCGTGCTTATTTGCTCGGCTCTCTTTTTAATGTTTCCTTTGAATCCATACGAGGAATCTTTAGGAAATTCACGTTAGCTTAATTTTGGGTGTTTGCAGAATGTGAATTTAATCAGTTTATGCATTGGTCTGTGCGTGTGTTGTAGGGAGTGAGCAGCCTGATTTTCTACTGCGTTGTGTATGAAAGTGTCTAAAGCGTGACTTGTGTTCCAGATTATTGGGTCATTGTTGCTGATGTTTTCTACTCCTGGCCATAGAGAGAGGATATCAGAAGTAGCAGCCTCTTGGGCTGAAAAAGAGACCAACACCAAGATTTTAAAAACTACAGTTTATGGAGTGGTTGAGGCTGGCTACAAAAAGCAAGTCAGTCCCCACAGACTTCCATGTTAAAATGTTAACATTAGAGTATTAACAAGCTTGTTACAGCCTGGTACAGGAAACGCCCCATTTCCTATCCCAAAATATAATTATCTGCTATGAGGTATAGGCTGGATGCTCATATTAAAGATGCAGACACAATTGAAAATGCACATATTGAAAATGCAGACACAATTTTAAACAATGAGGTTGGTGTATGTGTTTTGCAATATTTTGTTTAACAGGAATAACCAGTCAAAGTAAGTAGAGATGAGAGTACCATGTTTTAGGCAGAAAATGAACAAGGCCCATTATAAGATAAATGAGGATTATTTTAAACAGTGAATCATCCAGGTTCCCTTTATAGAGCCACTTCTTTTTGTCACATGATGACCAGTTAGTCAGTCAGAGGGATGCCAGGAACCATTTTTGGAAACAGCCATTCCCGTTCCCCCTGGCAACAAATCTTATCACTATCTGAAAGACACAGATACACACACAAATACACATACACACACATGGATATAGTACCAGCAGATAGAACAGATAGAAGATGATCTAAGACCAAAGAGATCAATTTTCCCATGTGCATGTGAGTGCACACTCCAGAGCACAAATGGACACCCATACTCATGCTATTTTTTTCAGCTCCTGGGGGGTAATGAAGATGTATAGTGCTTAAAAGCATACAATATACTGTTGATTGAGCTTCCAAGACAAAAGTTATAGAGTCAGAGTTGCAGTGGGGAGAGAGAAGAGAGAAGAGATTTTCTCTTGTTGAACATGCAGAATAATTTATAAATGGACGATTGATTCAGTTAAACATGCACTGCAAACAAACAAGCAAGCATGAGAATACACACCAAATGCTTTCAGTAATTTGGGTGTTTTCTCCACTTAAGAGGAGAGGAAGAATCCTAATGTCATTAACTTTATTACTGGGTGAGGGCAAGGAGAGGACAATATTCAACATACACAAAAACACATTAATGCAGATAAGCATGTTTGACAGAGCTGGTACAATTTTTCATCATGGCTTCATTTTTCAGAACATGTTGTTCAGTTCTCAGCAACCCCCCCTCCAAAAAAACAGATATTGACTCAAGGTCCTGAGACAGATTGATTACATGAGTGATTAAGCTGACTGATGAGGAAATGAGAGTCAGGGAGCTTTTACTCCACACTTTTATTAATTAGGACTGCAGCTTTCAGTTATTTATTTATTTATTTTTGCTTTACCAATTGTTGAATCTATAAAATGTTTATAAGTTGTATCTTTTAAAGTGTTTTAGATGGAACATGCTAACCTTAATAAAATTCCATCCATCCATTCTATTCCACTTATCCAGTTCAGGTGTTCCTCCCTTAATAAAAATAATAAAGAAAATAACCTGATTTTAACATCTTTGAATGAACTTTGTTTCCATAGCTTTTACATAATTTGTGAATTGCTAGAATTTATTCTGTTAAAATAAACATCTGCTAGTGTTCCGGTCAACTTGGCAACACATAACTTTGTTAACTTGACAATAACCACATTCAGTGTGAAAAATATTATGCTTCAGTTGAGCATTTAGCAGAACTGTTGGGCAGTGTTCTCACCAGAAGGATTCCCACAGAAGAACATCTGTTAGAGCTAAAAGCTATATACAGAAATAAGGCTTATTAGGAAACAGAAGGTAAAGGGTATGAACTATCAGAGTTGGGTTAAAATGCACATTTCTGAATAATTTTTTAAAATAAACAAAAAAAAACCCCACACAAAATAACATGCAGCAGCAAGTCATATTTTACTATTTACAAAAAAGGCGCTATTAAATGCAGTTCATGTCTAAGTTTGTCT